AAGGAGAAAGGCCACCCAGAAGAGTCACTGAGACCTGGAAATCTCCTTTTATCTTGTTTTCCCTGAGTTAGAGCCCACCCCCAGGACCTACTGATGTCTTTCAGTTAGGGGCAGGGATCTTTAGGCAGAGTCACAGGCAAAAGTCATGTTTGTTTTTCTGAAACAGAGACAAAGGCTCAATGAGGCAAGAGTGGTTTGAATAATTTTCTAGGAACTAGGTACCTGGTGGGAAAAGGTCAGTTTCTAGAAATGCCATTAGGATCTTCCCAGCATGCTTCCAAGAAGGCTAGTTGGTTCTGTGTTCATTGCCAAGATATGGCAATGGCCCAGATGCCCCAAAATAGATGAGTGGATCCAAAAAAGATGATTTCTGTACACAATGAAATTTTACACAACCATTAGAAAGAATAAAATAATGTCATTTGTAGGGAAATGGATGAAACTAGAACAAATCATGTTAAGTGAGGTAAGCCAAGATGAGAGACACAAAGGGTGTGTATTCTCTCTGATATGTGGAATTTAGATCTAAAATGCACTGGCATATGATAAATAGTACTCTAGATACTGACACACAGTGAGACCGAAAGGAGATACTCTTTGGAGAGTAACACAAAAGTGCAATGCCTAACTGTCTCTTCATATTTATATAAAATAATATAAATATTGAAACCCAACTAACAAGAATCTCTCTCATTTTTATTTTTTGATGATCTTGTCTTTTTTATGTATGGCGTATTCAAGTGTACATATTCAGGAGGGCTGAGGGGAGGGCACAGAACTCAAAAAGGGTGAAAAAGTGTAGCAGTGGATCTCACTGGACACGGATGAAAGTGAACTATACAACTTGTGGGTGGAGATGGGAAGGGGGGAACAGAAGACACTGTACAAAAGGAAATGTTGTACTCATTACCTGACTCATGTGATTGTAATTCCTCTGTATATCACCTCTATAATAACAATAAAGTAAATTAACAATAAGAATAAAAGAAGGCTGGTTGGGTGGAGACCAATAAACTCTCCAGGCGGGTGAGGAGGGGACTGGGTGGAGGTCACAATACAGTTGTTATTAGGATATTGACTTAGGCATTTCCCAGCAGTCCTTGACATAAACCTACTTAAAATCTTGTTCTAAGCAACTAAGACATACACAAAAAAATGCTTGTAGTCTTTGTGCTCATGAACTGTGACCAGTTGAGAAGTATGAGTGATTCCTTGCTACAATGTATTGTTGTTGTTTTTGTACGAGACATTTCAAGGCTGTATTGGCCTTTCCATTCAGGGGCGTGCAAGACGGATGCTGTGGCTTACACCTTGAATCAGACAATCAGACTTAATCAAAGTCAACCAGGGACTTTGTGACTTGTCTTTCCTTGTGGAAACTGGCAGTACCACTTCAACACATGGCTGGTTTCATCCAAAATCTTTAACTGTGATAATGGCTAAACCAAAAGTATTTTTTGGTCTAGCACAGGACTAGCGCTTATTCTTTCAGGCTAGTTGAGGCAAAATGAAGTCATCAAGGTTCCTTAGAATCTATTAAGCATGCCTTGGGGGTATAGTTGTCAGCGGCTTCATCTACGAGGTGTGGTGAGCCTTGTCTGAATTTTTGCTAGTGCTTTGTGTGCTGAAGGCATATTGCCGGCCACATCTGTGTTATAGCAGTGCTGGCAAACTGAGGGCTGCTCTCAAGTTCATTTGTCATCATTTGCTATTTGTGTGGGGGGGGATAATACTTCTTTTCTGGTATTGTACTTTTATCACATTCTTTGGGTGCCAGTCACTTATTTTGTGACTGAGATACACTTGCTTGAATGACAGAGAACTAGGAAGTTCCCTATAGGCAAGAATCCTGCTGAACGTCTGCCTTCCAAAGCCAAAACCTTGAAGTGCTTGTCCTAGATGAATAGTGTGGTGGGAAGAGTAAGGAGACTATTTTCAAGTCTATATTCTCCCTAGGGAGGAATGTATTGTATTAGATAAGTGAAAAAAACTTTTTCCCCCACCCAATATTTGTGGTTTGGTTTTGTTTGGTTGTTTCAATTGGGCTATGTTAGTTACCCAGTCTAAGGCAATGTAGAAAGGATTCCATACACAAGTCCTTGAATAGAAATAACCTGTAGTTGGTTACAAATACTCCTGAATATTCAGGAGTGATTCACCCAGAGGGGAGCTGTTCTGGCAGATTTCATTAGATTACAGGAAATGTAAGTTTTGTACAATCTTAGACGAAATGCCAAGTATTTTAGTTGCCTTTGTTTTGAGAACCAAAGCAATGTGGCTTTGAGCTTCTTAGTTTTCTTTATGTCAATGTAAATTTAGGCGCGACCAGGAACTGGGTTCCCCTATTTTTGCCTCTCACAGGTAACAGCAGCTTTTTCAAACATTACAAGAATCTGTTACACTTCATTCCAGAATATTTTGAAAGGAAAGTTTCCTACATACCCTACAATTTGCTTTAAAATGTATCTTGACCTTTTTTTTTTCTGGCTTCCCAAGCAAAATAGGATAACAGACAATTCTCACCCTAACGTGTTTATCATTAGAAGATAGAATACAACAAATAACTTAATCCAAACATTAAACACTCTTCTACTTCTGGCTTTTTTGCTGATTAAAATTGGAGATAAGAGTCCATATTAGTCTGCCAGGGTTGGCTTCATACCTTGATCCTTCTGACTAGCTAGGATTAGAGCCATTGGAACTGGGCTAGATAAAGCTTCCTTGGTAATTCCCAATTTTGTTGGTCAGTTGCTTGAATTACAAGTGTGTCAAATAGTGTGATAAATGGTAATCATTCCTGGGAGAATTCCTTATATCCTAGTAAATTTCTGTCACATAGTTAACTGGTATCCTGACTTTAAAACCTAGAATCTGCTTATCATGTTATTGCTATGCAAATGTCTGCAATCTAGGGAATGCCTGCAGTGTCTGGGACACTATGAGCACTTGCCAGAATCCCAGTAAGTAAGAGGTGGCTTTTGTGCCCTGCCCAGGTTGTCTAGGCTGGGATAGCCAAGGTTAACAGTTTGGCACAGTGGGAGGAGACTCAGGGGTTAGCAAGGACTCATCATAGTGGAGTTCTTTTGCAATTGTCAGTAAAGTAGCTTTAGCCTGTTAAGAACATTTTTCCTCTGGAATCTTCGAAGTAGAAGAAATTTGGACAACAGATGACCTAATTGTTACAAATGATTTCACCCAGCCCAGTAGAATACTCATTTGCTTTAAGTACACACTGACTATTTACCATGTTCTAAAGCACAAAACACTCACCGTATGTGTCCACACATCAGTATGTTAGAGCTGTTTTGGGATATTGGCTAACACTCAATATTTAAATTGAAAGGACTGGGCAGCTTAGTGGGCTTTTAATAAAGAGTCTGTGGGCCAAGTCTGGAAAAGTCTTACAAACTTTTTTTTTTTTAAGTCGGTTGTGGAGCTTGAACTCTGGGCCTGGGCACTGTCCCTCAGCTCTTCAGCTCAAGATTAGCACTCTACCACTTGAGCCATGATGCTACTTCTACCTTTTTCTGCTTATGTGGTACTGAGGAATCGAACCCAGGGCCTCAGCATGCAAGGCAAGCACTCTACCACTGAGCCACCTTCCCAACCCAAACTTTATACGTTTTGACAGATTTCACAAAGAGAAGAGAAATTTAGCAAAGCAAGAATTCAGAAAAAGAACCGAGAACAGGGCAAGTGAAAATGGATAAATGAATGTAACCTACTTTGATTAAAAATACTATTTCCGGGCTGGGAAGGTAGCTCAGTGGTAGAGTGCTTGCGCTTTGTATGCATGAGGCCCTGGGTTCGATTCTTCAGCACCATATAAACAGAAAAAGGTGGAAGTGGCGCTATGGCTCAAGTGGTAGAGTACTAGTCTTGAGCTGAAGAGCTGAGGCAGAGCCCAGGCCCAGAGTTCAGGCCCCATGACCGACAAAAAGAAAAACAAAATACTATTTCCTATTCATTCAGAAATAAAGCATACACTTTGCAATGAATAGTATATTCATGTGTAATGCAGTTTTATTTATAAAAGCCAAAAAACAAAGGTGCTGGTGGCTCATGCTTGTAATCCTACTTGTGAGACAGTGTTAGAAGATCGCAGGTGAGGTCAGCCCTGGCAGAACAGTTCACAAACCTCTTCTCAACCCATAGCTGGGTACAGTGGTTCATATCTGTGAAAACACGCTATGTGTGAAGTTGTAATTGGAGGAGGATTGTGGTTCCAGGCCAACACAAGCAGAAAACTTCATATTTGTAATCCGAGCATTGAGAAGCCTAATGTAATCATGGATCAGACAGTGAAATCCTAAGAAAATAACCATAATAAGTCAGGTAGTAGCAAGGAATGATGGCCCTGAGCTCAAACCCCTGTCTCCCCCCCCCCCCCCAAAAAAAAAAAAAAAGAAAACAATTAAAAAGTAATTGTATGTCTGTGTGCAGGTATTTGGATATACTGTCTTGATCTGAGTCTTTTGACCAGGTCCCCTCAGGTCCCTATTCGGTTTTGTCCCACTCTCCCTCCAGAATGTGCTGTGTGGTCCCCAACTGATCTGACTTGGTTAATACTTGTCTTTGCCTGTGATTCTTACTTATCAGACCTTGCCTTCCTCTCTCTCCTGTATGATCTACTAAGGAAGCAGTGGCAAAACAAGCAAGAAAAAAAAATTGTTGTTGATGATGATTTTAAAGGATATTATATAATCGAGCCAGTTGGAGCAGAGGTAGAGGTAGATTTCTTAAGCTAGTATTTTAAAATTATCTGGAACCTCCCTCTTCCCAAATTTTACCACTGAGCTGTGGCTGGTTGGGGAAGGGGACGTTGTCCACATTTTTAAATCAGTTATAATTTACTCGGAATAATCCATATGGCAAGAGTCAGGAAAGCTATGGTAGAAGCTATGAGTATTTAGAGAAGTGTGGCTTTTTTGAGATTTTAGGCGAGAGCTGTCTTCTGGTTTGTCACAGCCTTGCTTACTTGTTACGTTTTAATTTTCCAGGTTCGGACTCTGTTTGTCAGTGGTCTCCCTCTGGACATCAAACCTCGAGAACTCTACCTACTTTTCAGACCATTTAAGGTACCTTTTCTCTCTTTCAGAAATCACTGAAGACAAAAAAATTGTATATGTACATGATTTGAGGCTTTTTTTTTTCTCCCCCCTTTGAGGAATGAAAAAGTTTGAGAAAGCACCTTGTAAACAGATGTTTGTTAAAAAGTTATTGAAAGTTAACTGAAATAAAGGAAAGTTAACAAGTGAGCTCTGTTATCACCTCTCAGGATGACAGACCAAAATTATCTTTGGGGCTCCCAAGGGGAAAGTCTTTTCTCTTAATGCAGATATGCACCTAGCCCCATAGGTCTCGATTCCATGGAGAATAGAATATCCTTAGAATATCCCTGTTCATTCTCTTCCAGTTGGGGGTTCACTCCTATGTACAGTTCATAAATTGGTTTGGGGATGTAGCTCAGTGGTGGTATCCTTGCTTAATGCATACACAAGGCCCTGGGTTCAATCTCCAGCATTGTAAAAAGTTACCATAATTTATTATGTATATAAACTATCACCATGAGCTAATGGCATACACCTATAAATCCTAGCTACTCAGGAGACTGAGATCTGAGGGTCACAGTTCAAAGCCAGCTCGGACTCTCCGAGCTGTAATAATACTCCGAGAGTATTGTTTCTAACCACCAAAAGGGCATAACTGGAGCAATGGCTGAAATGATAGAGAGTTAGCCTTGAGTAAAAAAAACCTAAGGGACAGCCCCCAGGTCCTGAGTTAATGCTCCAGTAAGGGCAATCCCCAAAGGGAATTATAAATACTGTAATGCAAGCCAAGCCTCATCCTTAGTTTCCATATTAGTTGGAATAGTAAGTAGGCTTTTATGAACTAGGTTAAGAACCTAACACTTTTTGTACAGCTGAAGTCCTAAGTTTTAAGCAAAAACACAATTTTATAAGATAACTTTGTATGAATTGAGAAGAATATTTCCTAGTGTTTAGTGAAATATTTAATGCAGCTGCCGGTTCTTCCTGGGTGTGGAAATAAAATCATTTGAGAAGTACTTAGCATAACTGGGACTGAAATCTTAGAGTAAAACTGGAAGGCATCCTGAACTGAGGGCCTGGGTCCAGGATGTGTATTAGTCGGATAGGTTTGCAGTAGTTCCTTGCTGGGGCCACACTCATGATTAAGTAAAGGAAAATCATGTTCCTGACCAAAGATCCATCATGATTGAAATAGGGACAGGTTGAGGGACAGGATTCAGCTTAATAGGGAAAGAAAGCGAATAGGATGTGCATCTGAAAATGCCTGGGTTGGAAAGGAAGGTAGAAAAGGTTGAGGGAGGAATCAGTTATGCCCAATGAAGTTTAGTAGTGAACAGAACTCTTAAGCTGATAACCATCCCTGTGGGGGAGCAATAACAACTGGACAGAGAGGAATAGAACAGTGAGGTAGAAGGCAGGAACATAGGAAGTCGGAAATTAAGAGGTGGTGTATGGAGAGAGTGCTAGAGCTTCATTTAATTTCCTGAATTGCTTTTGAATTGCACTTGTGTGAATGGACCAGTTTTTCCCTTGTAGAGTAGCATTCATCTTAAGACAGAAATACCGTTACATGTATGTACAGTAAAAGATTTAGCAAACCAGACTCCTCCATAAATTTTCTCACTTAAGTAGCATTACAGTTCTTTATAGCATGTTAGTCCAATAGTTTCAAATAATGAAAATAAGACGGGCGCCAGTGGTTCATGCTTGTAATCCTACCTACTCAGGAGGCTGAGATCTGAAGATCACAGTTCAAAGCCAGCCGGGGCAGTAAAGTCCGTGAGACTCTTTATCTCCAGTTAACCACCAGAAACCCAGAAGTGGTGCTGTGGTTCAAGTGGCAGAGTGCTTGCCTTGAACTGAAGAGCTGAGGGACAGCGCCCAGGCTTGGATTCAAGCTCCATGACTGACAAAAAATAAAAATAATAATGAAAACAAAGCTGCAAGCCATTGGAGAAATAATGTACAAGTTGACTCATGTAATATATGGCAATGCTAGGAGTCAAACATTTCACCCTTATTGTAACTTGAGAACACAGTCTATTCTTTCCAGTGGTGTTTTAGAGAGTGGAATATCCATTTGGCCTTTATCTCTAAGGCCTTCACCATGCCTCCAGTCTTTTTAAGTGGGAGTCCCTTGGAAAAAAGAAAGGAGATGGTACTGTGCATCCTGACATCTTCTCAGAAGAGATCAAGGCCTTCCAGGTGAAATGTTTATAGTAGTTTATAGTGGTAATGATGAGAAAACATGAGAATGAATCAAATGCCAGTGCTGAAGTGAGGACATGGTTACATTCGATCCCAATAAAGCTCTATAATTAAAGTCCCTGCTGGCTGACCCTAGTGTGCAAATCTGTCTCCATACTGTCAAGTGGGGTTTCCCTTATGTCAGCCATCAGTGAGAGCCAATAGCCATTGGTTGTTTTCAGAAATAAATATACTATTTTTACTCTAACTCGTACAAACCGACAGGGAGGGAGGAAAGAAGGGAGGGAAACAGAGAGACAGAGAGATTGAGATTGGGATTTCCATCCATGAGGTGCCATGGAAACTTAATGAGAGGCTTATATGTGTCCAGAATACATACCACCCTAGAAACTGGCTGCCCCATTAAATTAGCACAAGAACTCAGCTAAATGCAATATTACTGCTTCTTTTGCTCAAGGCTAGCACTCTACCACTTTGACCCACAGCACTACTTCTGGATTTCCAGTGGTTAATTGGAGATAAGTTTCACAGGGACTTTTCTGCCAGGCTGGCTTCAAACTGAGATCCTCCTGAGAATCTAGGATTACAGGCATGAGCCAATGGTTCCCAGATTCTCTGGTAGTTTTATTTATTTATTTATTTTTTTTTTGGGGGGGTCTGGTCATGGGGCCTGAACTCTGGGCCTGGGCACTGTCCCTCAGCTCTTGAGCTCAAGGCTAGCGCTCTTCCACTTGAGCCACAACGCCACTTCCGGCTTTTTTCTTTTTGCTTATGTGGTGCTGAGGAATCGAACCCAGGGCCTCTGGCATGCAAGGCATGCGCTCTACCACTGAGTCACCTTCCCAGCCCTTTCTGGTGTTTTAAAGTGTTGTGGAGTCTTTCATTTGTTCACTTACATTACCAAGGATGCAACCCAGACCTATGCATACTAGACAAGTACTTTGTCACTCATCTACTTCCCCATGAGTTTTAAAGACTTGATGAAGGTATATAGTGTATATTTAACTTTGAACTGTTGTTTTAGTGCAGATTTATAATTAAGCCTGCCCTGACCACCTCCGCTTATTAAATTTAACCATTTCCTCTCCCAGTTTTGTAGAGGTCCTATTCTTTTCTAAACAACAACAAAAAAGGTCTGTTGACAAATACACATGTATCCTTACCATTGTATACTTCGTGGAAAAAATATAACAAATATAGAAAAATAGCCAGGTGCTGATGGCTCACACCTGTAATCTGATCTACTCAGGAGGCTGACATCAAGGATCCCTGTTCAAAGCCAGCTCAAGCAGGAAAGTCCTTGAGACTCTGATCTCTAGTTAACCACCAAAAAACCAAGTGGCACTGTGGCCTGAAGTGGTAGAACCAGTAGCCTTAAATCCAAAGAACTCAAACCCTGAGTTCAACCCCCACAGACATAGAACCCCAAAAAGAAATAGAAATGCATAAACTTTATACCCTAAGCATATGTGTGTGTGCGCATGTGTGCATGTGTGCGTGCGTGCGTGCGTGTGTGTGTGTGTGTGTGTGTGTGTGTGTGTGTGTGTGTGTGTGTGTTGCTTTCCCAGGTAATTTGGAGGCATTTATGAAAAAGAGCTAGATAGTTTAGAATCACAAAATACTTATTTTATTGGAGCAAAATGCTATTACAGTTAGATTCTTCCCATAGTACTCTTTGCTAAACTTGTTTTTTCTTTATTTTTAGGGCTATGAAGGCTCTCTTATAAAGCTTACGTCTAAGCAGGTAAGGTTTTAATCTTTTTTTTTTTTTTTTTTTTTGTCGATTGTGGGGCCTGTACTCTAGGCCTGGGTGCTGTCTCTCAGCTCTTCAGCTCAAGGCTAGTGCTCTACCACTTGAGCCACAGCACCACTTCTGGCCTTTTCTGCTTATGTGGTGCTGAGGAATCGAACCCAGGGCCTTATGCATGCAAGGAATGCACTCTACCACTGAGCCACCTTCACAGCTACAGAATTTAGATGTCTACAAGAAACTTTTCCTACATTCTTTTTTATTTTTCCCCTTTGGTCATGGGACTTGAACTCTGGACCTGGGCGTTGTCCCTGAGCTCTTTAGCTCAAGGCTAGTGTTCTACCACTTGAGCCACAGTGCCACGTCCAGTTTTCTCAGTGGTTTATTGGAAATAAGAATCTCACTGAATTTCCTGCTCGGGCTGGCTTTGAACCATGATCCTCAGATCTCAGCTAGGATTACAAGTGTGAGCCAGCAGTATACTCCTAACACATTCATTCTCTTAAATTTTAATTTAGATTTGATTTTTCTGTTGTTGCTTTAAAATTAAAGATGAGATAGATTAGGAATTCACACAGGGAAGTGATATGTAATTCTATAGTCTTTGGCTAGGATGTTTGGGACTATCTAAAAAGCAACCCACACATTCCTCCAGACTGGCTTGTGAATTCAAAGGAAGGATAATAAATTACTGGCCAAATCATTTGTACTCCTCACTTTTTCCTATTTCCTTTTATGAGATTCAATAGGCAAACTTTTACAATCGTTAGGATTATCAGATGGTGAAGATTTATTCTGACTCTGATCAGGCAGAGTCCCAAGTCTAACATGGAACATGGAAAGTACAGAATAAAGCTGGTAATTATTGCCTCTAATGGTTCCTTCAAGTCTCTTGAAGACTAGCTACGTGCTTAAAATTTTTTTTTTTCTTTAAATTGAGCACTTGGCATACTTTCATCCCCCTTGATTCATCAGAAATAAGCTAAATCACAGACATCCTGCTAGTCCCTAAAACCTGGCATCCAGTGGGATTATGCCTGTACTTGGGACAATATGCTTTCATGCCTAATTAAACACCGAATTTTTTTTAAAGGCATCCTTTGGGATTCATGCACTCACTGAATAGTGCTTTTACCATTGTGTCATCATATTCCTTGCACTTAAAGTATGCCTAAAGGTGATTTGCTTTCCTTTCCATTTTAAAAGATGAAGAAACTGAGGGACAGCGAATTTGATTTAGGAATGCAGAGCCTCTCTGACTCAAATTTTCCTCAATCCCCTTATTCACTGCTGCTCACCTTCCAATCACCTGTAGATTTGCTTCTCTAAATCCCCGGCTGTGCCCTTTAAGAACTACCCTCACCGTCCCTATGATTGGTGTTAGAAATTTGGTTAAGCCTTTGAGTCATGATTTTTTGGGACTGCTTTTCTTATTTCTGCCCATTGCTTAGGGGAGTTCATTTCTTTATGTTAGCTGTTCAGTTTGAGATCACTCTTGATCTGGAAAAGCAGACATTGCCTGATCTTGGTCACTCCATAGTTGCCTTTCTTTCCACAGCCCGTAGGTTTTGTCAGTTTTGACAGTCGCTCAGAAGCAGAAGCTGCAAAGAATGCTTTGAACGTAAGTAGTCTCTGATGGGTTCATCATGAGGGGCTTTTTTGGGTGTGGTAAGAAATGGAACCTTTTTACATCAGAGATTAGATGGAAAGAATATGACCACTCAGACCTAAGTAGTGCTCTCAGGAGCTTTCTCTGGGGATTGAGAGCAGATGTACAATTTACTTAAACTCTTGGCTTTTCTGCAGCTTTTACCCCAAAATATCTAATAATTTAGGTTTTATTTAATCTGGTCCCATCTCACCTATGGTGATGTGTAATTCTGCTTGTTGTCTCCAGAGAGAGCAAGTAGCCAGGTTATCTTTGTCCTCTACATGGATAATCTTCATGTTTTCTTCATGTTGTTTGTCTTTTTAGTTGTTTTTTAAACCAGATCATAGTTTTTATTTGGCTGATTAAGAATTTCCATATCATGCTTTTTATCTTACATTTTAATACAATAAAAAGTAATTGAGTGGCAGAATAACTTGTATGACATTTGGCTTGTAAGCATTTCTTTCTGCCATATATTTTGCCAGAGTTCTTTTAAGTAGATATTCTCCACCTTTGGAATGTTAAAACACAAAACAACCTAACGATGATAACCAACGGAAAGTAGAAGGAAATGAAATTTATTTCTTGTTGCTGGCAACTGGTCTTTGAGTTAGAGGCCTGAGTCAGGCCTGGCTTTAGGATGTTTCAGTCTTTTGGCCTAAGCAGCTATGATTAAGTGTTGACTAGAACAGCGCAATGTTTAGGAGCTTCCTACTAAGCAAGTGGCCACTTGTATATAGCGTCATTGTGATGGTTTCTGGGAACTTCTGGTCTTTGTGTTGCTCGGTAACTGTAAGTAGCTTCTAGCTGTTCCAAGCAGACCAGAAGAGGAGCATTGTTGGACCTAATAATTTTAGAACTTGGAGTCACAGGGGAGAGCCTTTATATGAGTGTTTGTTTGACATAATGCTGTCATTGTGACCTAATCTTGAAAGGGTTTAGGCTACAAAACCAAAAAATATGAATACCCTCCAAAAAAAAGTAAATTTAACATACCAGGATTGCAGAACCTCCCAAAACATCCAGAATTTCTCCTCATTTGGGTAAATGACATCTGGTCATAACTACTGCAGCTTGCATTCAATGAAATGTGAGCCAGTTACTGAGTACCACTAGTACACAGTGAAGGGCATGGAATTTTTTTTTTCCTTTTTACAAGTCCAGGGCCTTGAACCTTGGGCCTGGGTGCTATCCCTGAGCTAGCTAGCTTTCTTTCTTTCTTTCTTTCTTTCTTTCTTTCTTTCTTTCTTTCTTTCTTTCTTTCTTTCTTTCTTTCTTTCTTTCTTTCTTTCTTTCTTTCTTTCTTTCTTTCTTTCTTTCTTTCTTTCTTTCTTTCTTTCTTTCTTCTTTCTTTCTTTCTACACAAGGCTATCACTGGAGCTATAGCTCCACTTGCATCTTTTTTTTTTTTGGTCAGTCGTGGGGCTTGAACTCTGGCCCTTAGCTCTTCAGCTCAAGGCCAGTGCTCCAGTGCCACTTTTGGTTTCTGGTGATTTATTGGTGATGAGTCTTTTGGACTTTGCTACCTGGGCTGCCTTTGAACCTCGATCTAAAGATCTCTGTCTCCTGAGTTGCTAGGATTACAGTGCTTGGCCACTTGCATCGTTTTGGGGGCTGCTTAATTGGAAGTAAGAGCCTCACAAACTATAACCATTTTGTAAAGCAACTTTATATAACAATTAAAAATTTTTTTAACACCCGAGGGGCTAGGAATGTAGCTTGGTGGTAGAGTGTTGAATCATCAGCTCTGAAGAGAAATCGTTAATGATTTTTGTGTTACATGGATACAACCAGAATTTCCTGAATATAACTGAATTTTAAAACCACAAGTTCTATTTAGGCAGCTTTTTTTGTTTGTTTGTGTTTGCTTTGTTTTTCATTACAACTTAGGCAGCTATAGAAATGCAGACATGTCTGGGCCATTGTTCTTACAAGGAAGAAACAGTTGAACTTTGTTCACAAAATGTGCTCTGCTTGCCTTGCTTTTATTTCTGGTGTGTTTATAAAGATGCTACTGACTCACTGAAGAACAGTAAGCCTTTACAATGATCTGTTTTCTAGCAAGGCAACATTTCCTTAGGAGTAAATGGATTGTTTTGTGTAGGGGTGGGAGAAGTACTGAGTTTTGAACTTTGGGGGCATTGCCTTTATTACTCTGATATTCTAACAATAGGGCCATGCCTCTATCCTAGCTTTTTTCTGGTTAGTTTGGATATGAAATCTAGCTAACTTGTCTGCCTGGGCTGGCCTCAAATTCTCTAGATCTCAGCCTCCTATATAGCTTAGGATTACCCATGTACTTGTACTCATTAGTTTCTAGCTAGCTTGGAGCTTTCTTGCTCATCTGCTCGCCCACCCACACCCACTCTCCTTCCCTCCCTCCCTACTTGTTTTGTTTTTACTGGCCCTGGGGCTTGAACTCAGGGCCTGGACACTGTCCTTGAGCTTCTCTGTGCTCAAGGCAAGTGATCTACCACTTGGGCCACAGTACCACTTCTGGCTTTTTCTATTTATGTGGAGCAGAGGAATCAAACCCAGGGCTTCATGCATGCTAGGCAAGCGCTCTACCACTACACCCCATTCCCAGCCCCTAGTTTGTGTTAATAAAGGCTAATAGTGACAAGCTGTCTCCTTCCTTATATACTAAGTAGAGCTCAATAACACAGTTATGAATTTTCATCTTCGGGGGTTTTACTCACGGAGGCCTCCATCACAACTGACCCCAGACCACTGTCGCGTGGTCTTAAAGCCTAGAAGTTGTTAATCACCTTGCTCTCGGCTCTTCCTTCTCTCTGTAGCAGACCCACTGTCCTCTGCTCATTAATTTTGGTGGCTACTTTGGAAGCACCTCCAAATAAAAGCACTCTAATTCTGCTATGAATTGAAGGAGAATTGTACTTACTTAACTGTGGAGTAATGAGTCTAGGCTTTCAGCTTCTCAGAGCTGAGCTACTGGCTGGTCTTCACATTTTTTAATCTTTCATATGTAAAGCAATTGGAAGCCTTGTATACGTTAGAAACTGATGTCTTAGCTAGGGAAACCAACCTAGAGAGGATGAGTGAACGAGCCGGCTAGGGGAAGGTATGGTGATGCAGCCAGGACTCAGTCCTGTCTTGTTTTGCACAGCATCTTGCTGCTGCTTTTGTTATGGAATGTTGCTACATTTTTCCTAGTGGCAATAATAGACTACACATTGTCAGGACAAATGGCCACCATAAAGTTTGGTATCTGATGGTGGGAGAAGGTCTTCCCTCTGGAGAGAAAACAGGCCCACTTGATATGTATCTTCCCTGTGACTACCTAACATATTCCGTCTCTTTTTCAGGGTCATGTTTTCTAATTGATGAGTTAAAAACCTCTTGATGCAGTGATCACAAAATTTTCTCCTGTAGTGTCACGTATCCAGTTTTTCTTCAAAGCTTTCCCTTAAATTCCCTTAGGGAGAGCTTAGTGTTGTAATGTTTTGTTTTATTCCACTGTTAAGAAACTTAAGCCCCGATCCAGGAAATCTCTTTATATAGAATAGTTCTCAGAGCTGGGACCGGCTTCTCCATGTTTGGAGATTGTCTTCTTGTTGCCATTCTGTCTTGGTTACTGTCTGGCTCAGTTGTAGTGTTAATTGGTCTTTTCCCCAAGTGACTGATTTTTAAATCCTTTTATTTTCTACTAGCTTCAGACTCTGCTTTAGTCAATTTGATATTCTTTTGAAAAGAAATGCTCAGGTTGAATGAAGCGTTAACACTGAACTTTTCTTGGGTTCAAACCTTCTAAAGTAAATAGAGTATCTTATTTTTTTTTTTAGCAGTATCTCCCAAATAAGACTAAGATTAACCCAAACCTAGACTTCAAAAATCTACACAATTAGAAACCACATTCATTCTTTAAACTGCAGAATATCTGGCCTGAGTGAGAAAGAGAGAGAGAGAGAGAGAGAGAGAGAGAGAGTGAGTGTCTGCCCATGCTTGAACGTAGGGTCCTAAGGCTTGAACATATTGCCTAAGTACTGTCCCTTAGCTTTTGTGCTCAAGATTAGTGCTTCATCATTGAGCCACATCTCCTCCACTTCTGGCTTCTTGGGTAGTTAATTAGAGAGTCCTGGGCTTTCCTGCTCTGTCTGGCTTCAAACCATAATCCTCAGCTGTCAGCCTCCTGAGTAGCTAGAATTATAGGTGTGAGCCATCAGCGCTTGCCTCAGATTACTTTTAAGACTTGTTTGTAATTTTGTATGGTATATTAAATACAGTGATACCTGACGTTCACTTTGTTTTTGTCAAAATTCTTGCTTAGAAGTAAATTCTAAAATGAAACCTGGGAAGCTGAGCAGGTTTAAAGGCAAACCTGAACAGATGTGGATATATCATTTCTGGATATTCCTAACAACTGTGAGGAATTCCTGGTAGAAAGCTTGTTTTCATAAGCTAGAATGATTTGCAATTAACAAAGGACAGACATCCCTGCTTACTATAGCTCCATACATAACACATGCACTTGCCCTAGGGTTAGAAATTGCTGAACTCATGTACTTTGAAATATGTGGACTCATGTGTGTGATACTGTGTTTGTGTGTGTGTGTGTGTGTGTGTAATTTTGTTACCTTTCCTAACTACCACATTGCTTAGGGTAGTGCAGTTGTGTGCTTGCTTTCAAACTCTTCTCATTGATCTGTGATTTTTTTTTTTTAAGTCGGTCACGGGCTTGAACTCTGACCCTGAGTACTGTCCCACAGCTCTTCAGCTCAAGGCTAGTGCTCTACCACTTGAGCCACAGAACCACTTCTGGTTTTCTGGTGGTTTATTGGAGATAAGAGTTTCACAGTTTTGGGCTGGGAAATTGGCTCAGTGGTAGAGCGCTTGCCTTGCATGCCTGAGGCCCTGGGTTCGATTCCTCAGCACCACATAAGCAAAAAGAAAAAAAGCCGGAAGTGGCACTGTGGCTCAAGTGGTAGAGCGCTAGCCTTGAGCTGAAGAGC